GTCATAGAGTGGGTAAAGGGGGGAGTGGGTAAAGGGGGGAGTGGGTCAGGGGGGAAGTGGGTCAAGATGAGGGGGTGGTAGGTCAGGTGGTAGGAGTGGGTGAGGGAATGGAAGGAGAGTGGTGGATTGGGTGTTGCTATAGGTAGGTGGGCTGTAAATCAAGGTGGCGAAAACCCAGGGTTTATTTTAAATTGCCCAACCCCCCTAGGTTTTGTGAAAAAAACCTTAGCAAAATGGGTTTCATTACTTTTTCCCTTATTCCAGTTATACTTAGCTTCAAAGTCCTTTTCATTTATGTTCATCATTTAAAATTTGATGCCAGAGATTATCGAGTTCTATTATTACGTTGGCTATAACTCTTAATCCAATAATTGTTGATTTGTAAAGAGTGAGTCAGTGATGCAGCATTAACTTGATGTATCACTGTTATAAAAATACACATCTCTGTCCGAGTCTACGAAGCAATGGATATAATATTTATTGAATCAATTAATAAATTCTTCGTTGTTTCCTTGTTTCTCGAAACTAATATAGTGCCAGCCTCTAAAAACCCAGTCTTTCCCTCATAACTTATGAAGACTTGGACTGAGCACTTAGAAATATGAGCCAAATTTAGAAGCTTCCATTATTTAACGTTCTCATATATTGTCAGGCTTGTATTGCCACTTGTTTTTAACTAGCAAGCAAAATTATGCGATATTAAAAAAAATTACATGTTCTTAAATAAACCAGTGTGCTAAATAAACTCACTAGCAAAAATTCCCCTTCTTCATGTCTTTAAAAATAATACGTACCTAGAAGGTTTGATCTTCTTTCTTCATTACCTGCTTTTTACTGTTGCGTATTTTAATTTCAGGGCCTATTTAAGGAGCCGAAATATTCTCTAGTTTCTGTAGTTTTAACTCTAATTTATATATATGTATATATATAATATATATATATAAATCCACATATCCGGACTCTAATTATTTTTTCTATATTGCAAAAAATATGTAAAAAAACTTGACCTGGCTGGACCTAACCCCAGTAAAACGGTCTCTAGCAACGTAAAGAAGGGTTTTAGACACACCTAACCCTAACCTAACGAGGTTGGCGTTTTTTATGTCCGGTAATGTAGTTCATCTATTTGCGCGTCCGGTTTTTAGATACAAACTAATTACAGAGTATATAACCGGACGCGATTTTGTCCGGGTTTCTAACCCTTGTCCTGTAATGTTACCAATCTTGTCCGGTTATTGCTAACTTATAACTCTTAAATATAATATATATATATTCGAGTTTCGGTCAATTGCCGGACAGAATTAATAACATTACCGAACATGGGTGAAAAATCCGGACAAAATCGCGTCTGGTTTTGTACTCTGTAAATAGTTTGTACTTTGAAACCAAAAATAAATGAACTACATTACCGGGCATTCTAAAAAACGTCAACTTCGTTAGGTTAGGGTTAGGTGTATATAAAACACTTCTGTACGTTGCTAGACACCTTTCTACGTGGGTAAGTCGAGCCGGGTCAATGTTTTTTTACCTTTTTTAACATTTGTGCCTTTATATCACACTCTTGATTGAAGGCTTTAAATGAATAACTAATTTGTTTTTATAATTTTGTTTCTTGGACTTATGAGTTATCGCACAAAATAATATTGAACATGAATTTTAATATTAGCAAAGGATACAGTGAATGTCAATATATACCTAGAGGGTTTGATCTTCTTTCTTCATTACCTGCTTTTTACTGTTGCGTATTTTAATTTCAGAGCCTATTTAAGGAGCCGAAATATTCACTAGTTTCTGTAGTTTTAACTCTAATATTTATATATGTATATATATAATATATATATAAGTCCACATATCCGGACTCTAATTATTTTTCCACATTGCAAAAAATATGTAAAAAAAACTTGACCTGGCTGGCCCTAACCCCAGTAAAACGGTCTCTAGCAACGTAAAGAAGGGTTTTAGACACACCTAACCCTAACCTAACGAGGTTGGCGTTTTTTATGTCCGGTAATGTAGTTCATCTATTTGCTCGTCCGGTTTTTAAGTACAAACTAATTACAGAGTGTATAACCGGACGCGATTTTGTCCGGGTTTCTAACCCTTGTCCTGTAATGTTACCAATCCTGTCCGGTTATTGCTAACTTATAACTCATATATATAATATATATATATATATATTCGAGTTTCGGTCAATTGCCGGACAGGATTAATAACATTACCGGACATGGGTGAAAAAATCCGGACAAAATCGCGTCTGGTTTTGTACTCTGTAAATAGTTTTGTACTTTGAAACCAAAAATAAATGAACTACATTACCGGGCATTCTAAAAAACGTCAACTTCGTTAGGTTAGGGTTAGGTGTGTATAAAACAAATCTGTACGTTGCTAGACACCTTTCTACGGGGGTAAGTCCAGCCAGGTCAATGTTTTTTAACCTTTTTTAACATTTGTGCCTTTATTTCACACTCTTGATTGAAGGCTTTAAATGAATAACTAATTTGTTTTTATAATTTTGTTTCTTGGACTTGTGAGTTATCGCACAAAATAATATTGAACATGAAGTTTAATATTAGCAAAGGGTTATTCATATGTTATTCCTCCCATTTGACGTTGAGAAAGTGAAGTATGTGCATGAAATTAGCATCAAAGCTGATGTTAAACATACAGTTTAGGTCGGGTTACTCCCCCTTCAAAAATTTCGAAAAAAATGCAGAAATTACGAAATGGACTTCGGTGTGAAGGCGATATCGGGTGGTTCCTTTTTAGCGCATTTTCTCATTTAAGGAAAAAATGCGCTATTGTGCTCGTCTTGTCCGTCCGTCTGTCTGTCCGTCCGTCCGTCCGTGACCACGTTTTCGTTGACGAGGAAATGCGCTCTCTGCCACTCACTGCAGTGGGTTATATTTTTTGACTTATAACCTTGTGATAAGGCCTGAAAGACTGCAAGTTAGAGCACCAAGTAACATATATGAAACTTCATTCATTATGGGTGTTCTTTAGAATTTAAATTGAAATGGGCTATTTTTAGAGGCATGGGATTACTGTATTTCTTACTGATTACTGTATTCAGTATTCCCATACAGATATGTGATTACTGTATTTGTTCAAGAAGGCTTGATACATAACTCCTTGATAGCTTCTCTCCAGTATTAGAGCTGGGATCGAACCCGCGCCTTTCTGCTCCAATCTTGGTACTCTGAACTGTAACCACTGGGATACATGGGTGAAAAATCCGGACAAAATCGCGTCTGGTTTTGTACTCTATAAATAGTTTGTACTTTGAAACCAAAAATAAATGAACTACATTACCGGGCATTCTAAAAGAAACGTCAATTTCGTTAGGTTAGGTGTGTATAAAACACTTCTGTACGTTGCTATAGACACCTTTCTACGGGGGTAAGTCTAGCCAGGTCAATGTTTTTTTTACCTTTTTAACATTTGTGCCTTTATTTCACACTCTTGATTGAAGGCTTTAAATGAATAACTAATTTGTTTTTATAATTTTGTTTCTTGGACTTTTGAGTTATCGCACAAAATAATATTGAACATGAGGTTTAATATTAGCAAAGGGTTATTCATATGTTATTCCTCCCATTTTACGTTGAGAAAGTGAAGTATGTGCATGAAATTAGCATCAAAGCTGATGTTAAACATACAGTTTAGGTCGGGTTACTCCCCCCTCAAAAATTTCGACAAAATTGCAGAAATTACGAAATGGACTTCGGTGTGAAGGCGATATCGGGTGGTTCCTTTTTAGCGCATTTTCTCATTTATGGGAAAAAGGCGCTATTGTGCTCGTCTTGTCCGTCCGTCTGTCTGTCCGTCCGTCCGTCCGTGACCACGTTTTCGTCGACGAGAAAATGCGTTCTCTGTCACGCACTGCAATGAGGACTGAGCTGTATTTTTTGACTTATGACCTTGTGATAAGGCCTGAATGACTGCAAATTAGAGCATCATGTAACATATATGAAACTTCATTCATTATGGGTGTTCTTTAGAATTTAAATTGAAGTGGGCTATTTTTAGAGGCATGGGATTACTGTATTTCTTACTGATCAGTAAGAAATACAGTAATCCCATGCAGATATGTGATTACTGTATTTGTTCAAGAAGGCTTGATACATAATTCCTTGATAGCTTCTCTCCATTTTTAAAGTATTCTGATGTTCAAAACTGTAAAATAAATTATATGCGTACATACGTTTTCTTTTAAACCCACCTTCTATTCCACAAGTTAAAAAAACGAGTTTTCACTTTGAAAAGAAAAAAACAGCGCTGTTGGATAGGTGGGCAGCTCCCCAGGCTGTACCATGTACCCCCAGGCTGTACCTTGTACCCCTGTACCCCCAGGCTGTACCTTGTACCCCCAGGCTGTACCCTGTACCCTCAGGCTGTACCTTGTATCCCCAGGCTGTACCCTGTACCCCTATACACCCAGGCTGTACCTTGTACCCCCAGGCTGTACCCTGTACCCCTGTACCCGCAGGCTGTGGCAGTTCGTGGTACTGGAGAGCGTGGCGGTGTTCGCGGTGCTGGTGTACCGCAGGTCCGTCCTGAAGGTGGCGTACCGCGCCGCGTACCGACGGTGCTTCTGCTGCAGGGACGAGATGGGGGACCACGATGGAGGGGCGGGGGAATAC